AAAGAGCGCCTTTCTGAATACAGACGGCCGTTGCCAGGATTCAAAGATAACATTTTATTTTGTCGAAACTCTGTTAGCATTCGTGCATACAGGCTTTTGATACACAGCCAACTATGTGTTATCCCTTAATAGTGCCAAAAGTGACCTCTTTACAGTTTACAAGTACTGATCAGTAGATACAATTCCCTCAACCAAAACAATGTAGGCATGAGTTTCTCGGTCAAAAAAGTGACCTTGTATTTTTTATGCCACTGTTTTACTTCCTACTTGCTTTCAGGACCATAATAATGAACCCACGTTTCATCTCCGGCAACAATCCGGTCGAAAATACGCTCCTTACAGTGCGCCTGCTTCTGAGAGACTGTGGGCATGCGTGGAACCCATCTCGACTTATACGGACATCTTCAAGTACACGTGTTTCCTCCATACCACTTTTGAACGGTGGATAATGAATAAGGACCTTGATAACCCTTCGTGGATGGTTTGTTTGGAGTTTTCCTTGTTTTGTAAAGAATGTAATCACAACACGATGCCCAAACATTGAACACTTGTATTTATACCCTTAGGGAGTATCATTTACAAATGAGATGACTTAAAATCATTCCTCATTACAACACCCTGTATACGGCATATGAAAGGAAATTACTGAATGGTTCTTTTTTTCAGGTAAGTGTTCCATGCATTCAACACCAAACCAAGGGAATCCTTATGAAGTCGATGGAAGAAGACTAAGGGCAGGTTTGCAGATTTATGTTTGCGTTACTCAAATTTATTAGTTTTGATTTGGAAAGTTGGTACTGAGAATACATAGAACTCTCAACATAGATAGATTGTACTTAATCATGATGGAGAGATTACGCAACTTTAACCATTAGCGTGCTTCTGAAATGATATTTTTATTTTACTCTCCTTAGGTAAGAATCAACAATTACTCTTTGATAATACACATAAAACGGAAGTAATAAAGGTACTGAATCGTCTTTGAATGTCGCCGGTTGTTCCTCGAGTCGGGTTTCAGCGCTTGGAAATTAACACGCCTGCAGATCTAGTTCGTGGTTCATTATTCATAAACAAATGTGGGCATTTGACACAAACCGCAAGCAGAAAAGAACAACACGCTGCAATTTTTAAACAATTCGCTGCTTTTTTTTGGATATCCAATAACCAGTTGATGATTTTCGATGTACCATGAACTTCTGTTTTTTATTTATTTATTTATTTTACCTTTATTTTTGAGTGGGTGGGGTTTCAGGGCAGGCGTTTGGCTTGACTAGAACTAAATTCCTTGTATGTTTACTTCGTTAGCCCGACGGAGAAATGAAAACCAATTTTTCTTAAACCTTTGTCAGGAATTTCGCAGGAACGAATGGTAATTACAGTGCCTCTCTAATCTCCCCGGAACGGTTTACCCTATCGTAAATCCAACCTAAGACAAAAATTAAAAATTTCAATCTTTGAAAGGGCTCCCGTTACAATGTGGTTTCTTTAAAAACGGTATCTGTATACTTTTTTCATTTTTTAATTTTTGACGGCTAATACGCTTTTTTAGAAATAACTAATTACGTAATTTCCGTTACTTGGAGACCGATCATACCTTTGATGGGAACTTTGGGTAACCAAACGAAATTTATTTACCATACTCTACCCTTTCTAGTACAGAAGATGCCACAAAATGTACTTACTATCCAAGGCCATAGACTAAATTAGGTATTTTATCTGTGCCAAGGCGAAACCTGGCCCATTGCATCAGGTACATACAGCTTACACACACTTTGTAAAAGGTTCAAATTACTGCTATTATGGTATTTGTCATCTTTGCAATGGACGCAGTGTTCGCTTTGCGCTTTACAATGGTGTGCTGGTGACGGGAATTAGCGTTTGGCAGCTAATCGCTCCCAATAGTGGTTTAGTTTCTATGTAATGGCTAACGCCATATACGTAATTGCCTGTCACCCAAAACGAAGTCATTATTATTGGCAAATGGAGTTGTAGCATAACTTATTTTCTCGAATTCGCTTTACTAAACCGGCATATAATGCATTTAATCCCCAATTATAACGTCACGACCCGTTTCGTTCTTTAAATATTGAAACGCATTTGCCACCATTTCATATACGCGGCGATTTATATTACAGCTGCTGGACTACAAAGTTGCATACATACGAAACTAATTTAAAATTGGACCTTTCGGTATGAATACGCGAAAGTTGATCTCATATTCGAGGGAATATAAATGTAGCTCACTTTAAGAGCATGTAGTCCGGTAACTTTGAATTAATTACATTCCCGAGCCAGGGGATACGAATCTTTCTTCGTCGTTCCTTTAATTATGTCCCATAAATATTCACGAGATGAGGCCAATACCGACGTTTTGCATACTAAAAAATATATAACTTTAATTTCGTATAAAGGATAGCAAATGTTAGTTTTTGGTCAGCGTTGTACCCTATTGTCTATTCTACGAACATTCTCTGGTTAATCGGTTCAAATACAAAATTTCTTACAATTTGCTAATATATGTGATACCTTATACTATATACGTTTATGTGATTAAATCAAGCCAATAGCAAGTTCCTCTCAAGGAATGGATCTGCAGCTGCGTTTATCCTGTAGGCTGTAGTAGTCAAATATATTGTTATAGTTATGTTTACTTAAATCTTTTAAATGTTATGTGGGACACGAAGATATAATATTACGTATTTTCACTGTTCCATTAGTGTTTCCGTTTTGTATGCGAAAGGTACGTGTATCTACAGTAAAATTTGCATTTTGTATGCAGTAGAGCAGGCACTATAAGAATTGATGGTTGTCAGGTAAATAGATACTGGGCATGTCTGATGGTATTACGTTTATTGATATTAATTTTTATTTTTATTACTTATGCTCAAAGAGTTAAGGGAGTGCATTAGTAAGAACCAATTTTCGTAGCTCATCGAACGTGATCAAAACTGTGATAATTGATAATTATTATGTATTTGCAATAGTCCGATATACACTGTCATCTGTTATTTATTTTATGTTATTTACTCAACTGTGATTGTCTTTATCCTGAAACTAACAATGGATAACACAAATATCATCCAGTGGAATTGTGGAGGACTAGCTCATAATCTAAATGAACTAAAACTGATCATTAAAAAGCACAATCCAGTTTGTATAGCCCTTCAGGAAACGCACCTGAAAGTAAGGCACAATTTTAACATGAAAGGTTTCACTTTATTAAGGAAGGATTTTTTTCCCCTGAAAGGGCATGTGGCGGAGTAGGACTTGCAATCCGTAAAGGAATACCGCATAAAAGGCTACAGATACTCACACAATATCAAGTTGTAGCAATACAACTTGAAATCAGCCGAAGTTTTGCGCTGTGTAATATTTATCTTCCCAATACAAATTATGATGTAGGAGAAATTGAAAGAATCATCAATCAACTCCCAAAACCGTTCATCCTTATTGGAGATTTTAATTGTCATAACACTGTGTGGGGCTCTACCTCAAATGATGCACGAGGTAAAGAGCTATTAGATCTCATCGAGACTAAAGCTCTTTGTATTTTAAATGACGACTCCTCTACTTACTTTAACATAAGATCAGGCACTTTTGACACCATTGATTTGTCTATATGTTCTCCGTCTCTATACACTGAATTGAAATGGGAAGTGGAAAATGATCTATTTAATAGTGACCACTTTCCCATAATCTTGACTTTTCGAGGTGTCAACATTCCTGCAATAAGATCTACAGCAAAATTCAAAATCCAACAAGCAGATTGGGAATATTTTACTCACCAACTATGTCCTCCTCCAAATGATGACAAGCTAAACCTGGTGAATATCACATCCTCCATTTTGGAAGCTGCAAAGAAAAGTATACCTATGTCAAAGGCTAGACAGATCACTAGATCTGTCCCATGGTGGTCATCTGTAATAAAAGAAAAAATAGCAATTAAAAAAAGAGCATTAAACAAGTTCCGACGTAATCCTTCCCTGGATAACCTGATAGTCTTTAAAAAACGCAGAGCTGAATGTCGTCGGGAAATTCTCCAGGCACAAAGAAGGTCGTGGCAACACTATGTATCCACCATAACGACGGACGTGACTATGAGTGAAATATGGAAAAAAGTGGGTTCGATATCTGGCAAATCTAAACTAAACTACCCGGCATTCCTTCGGAAAAACGATGGGGTGGTTACGAAAGATTTACAAGAAATTTCGTACCTCTTGGCAGACCATTTCTATCAGGTCAGTAGTTCGTTACTATAACTTACCTTTTAGTATGGATGAATTAGAATCTGCACTTAAAAACACGAAATCCTGCGCTCCCAGTCACGATAGTATCCACAATCAGATGCTTCGTCATTGTAGCAACCCGATGAAACAAGTGATTTTAGATTTCTTTAATTTTTGTTGGGAAAATAGTATCTACCCTGATGAGTGGAAACGGGCCATAGTCGTTCCCATACTTAAAACGGGGAAAGATCCGTTGTTGGCGCAGCACTACCGTCCAATTAGTTTGACTTCATGCCTAGGCAAACTCTTGGAAAAAATTGTTGATGGGAGATTGCGGGTCTTTCTGGAAGAAAACGAGATCATGGTCCCCTGTCAGGCCGGTTTTCGGAGAGGTCGGTCGACGGTTGATCATTTGGTTAAATTAACTGATAACATCCTAAAGTCGTTTGATGGTGGCGAACATTTGATTGGGGTCTTCTTTGATATCAAGCGCGCATATGACATGACATGGCGGTATGGTATACTTAAAAAAATGCTTGAATACAATTTACGCGGAAACATGCCCAAATTTATCAGATCTTTTTAAGAGACAGAAAGTTTATTGTTAGAATTGGAGAGGCGTATTCAAACGAGCGCGTATTAGAAAACGGGGTCCCGCAGGGCTCGACTTTAAGCTGTTCACTGTTTGCAATTGCCATAAACGGAATAGCCCTGGGTGTTGCCGACACAGTCGATAAATCCCTATACGTCGATGACTTAATGATTCATTGTGCCGGAAAAACCGTTGGTTCCGCTGTGCGTATACTACAAATGGCTATCAATAAAATTTCTGATAATGCGGATGCAGTGGGGTACGTTTTGTCTGAGGAAAAGACGAAGGTGGTTCATTTTTGTCGACTCCGAAGACCACACTATGACCCCGTTCTATTTATGAAAGACCGTATAATAGCTGTGTCCCAAGATATGAAATTTTTGGGACTTACCTTTGACAGGGAACTGCGGTGGTCCAAGCATCTACAGAATGTTGTCACAAAGTGTAGGAAATCATTAAATGTCATTAGGGTCCTGGCCCACCATAAGTGGGGAGCTCACCCAAAGACGTTACTCGACGTCTACAAGGCCTTAATTTTATCGAGAATTGATTATGGGTGCTGTGCTTATCTGACATGTGACAACAGTGCGATGCTTGGGAATCTCGATAAAATCCAAAACCTCGCCATACGGTATTCCCTCGGAGCTTTTCCAACGAGTCCGGTCGCTGCGCTTCACGTCGAGGCGAACATCCTTCCTCTAGCCCTCCGTCGTAAACAGGCTGCTGTAAACTATTATCTTAAAGTAATTTCGGATGAACGACATCCGAATCACGTATCGATGGCAGGCGCAGTTCCACGTCGACGACTGAATAGGTGCAGAACGCTGAGCCAAAGGGCTAGAGAGGATCTAACGTATCTACAACTAAATGACCTTGATGTTGCAAATGAGACAACAGTAACCCGACGTACACTCGTCAGGGCTCGGGTGTATGAGCGTTGGGGCGACTTATGGGCGAGGTCCGATTCATTTTTGAAAAGGGTCAAACCCGATTTGGGGCCGCTATTTCTTCTTGGCGAGGGTCGGTTTGTATTCGTGAAGATGTTTCGAATTAGACTTGGGCACACCGCATTAACCCATAGTGCCTTGCTGGAAGGTAAACCTAGACCCCTATGTGCGAATTGTGAGGTTAATTTAACACTAGAGCACATACTTTGTAACTGTCCACGATACAAAGATATACGGGACAACTTCGGGATATGTCCGATATGGGAAGGTAACTTTAACAGCGATGAACGGTGTCGAAGGGTGATAGGATTTTTCCAAAGTGTGGAAATGTTGCACAAACTGTGATATAATGGCTGTCTATTTAATTGTTATTTATTGTTGTCTGTCAGTTACCAACTTTGTCATATGGAAAATATTGTATTGTATGTGAGTCGACCTACCTGTATGTAATATTCTATTAGAACGAAGTCTGTGATATTTTGAGCAAATAGGCAAATGGCCATAGAAGCCGAAGCCTTAGGTGGGGTTTTAGTGGGTATACCCGAGTAAGGGAGAGCCCCACACTACTCCAGACCTTTCAACCTGGAGTGTGCATAAGGAGCATTTCCCCACCTACCAAAAAAAAAAAAAAAAAACTTGAACAAAATAATCTGACTAGTAATCTGAACAAATTGTGGTCAAATTGCTCCTAAACCCGATAACGGTTGCATCGAAGAGCAGGGTTCGCTCACTTCATTTCGGTCTACTTACGAACGAGCGATGAACAACAGTACTCGGGACCTAAAGTCCACGGGAACGCCAAACTTCTGTTAGGCGGGTGTAATGTCCTGCATTTTACAGAGCCAACATTTGCATACTATCAGTTGCAGGAAAATGTTCTGGGGTTCACCGCACCAAAGTATTCTAGTCCAGTCTCCACTCCTGTCAAATATAGTTAACCTTTAAAATGGCCGATTGCAGTTCAAAATTAATTAAACGAACTCGGTGAATCATGAAATAACAGACTTAAAATAAAGTTAAGAGGAGGACTAACTTTAGTTGAATTTAATATAAATTACGTTAGAAGTTCGTATGGTTTGGCAACTTAAGTTCAATGACAAAAGATGGGCATCCGGACGACGCATAATTCTTAAGTAATCCCACTAAATTGCAACGTAACATTACCGATAACTTATGTGTTCCTGAATCATGCCTCACCGTGAACATTTATATTATGATTATAAAGGCTGCTTGCAAATATTATATCTCTAATTCAATTGATTAATTTTAATTGAAAAGATTTTACTTTGTAGTGAAGTATTTCAACCGTGGTTTCGCACTTTGTGTACATTTTTAGTAACGCTATATTCATTATACGACAAAATTGCACATTTCTTTTACTAAGCAAGTTGCACGTTTTTACATCTTTCCTTTGTCAAAGGATATCATCGACTACCAATTCCAACGCTTTCTTTACAAGTTTAAAAGCTAAGCATTCCCCATATTAAGCCATTGGCAACCCTCGAACGTGAGTTTTATTTTTGTTAGTGTTTTTGTTGAATTATATGCATTAAAAGAATTTATGGCTTCAAAACCGTTAACGCCGAAAAACAGGTTTATATTTCAAATCGACTGTTTTAAAATTTCAGTTAAATATAAAGATTCGTATTGCTTAATTATGAATTAATCGCTATCTATCAAGCAGGATCACTTAGTATTTATGCTTAAATCAATAGTGAGTATTGTTTCATAAATTAGAAGACAAGGAATCTGAATTTAATATTTAGTTGTTTTTTTGAAATTTCTTTTTAAGAAGGGATGGTTAATCCCTTCGTTAACGTGAAAAATTGCCGAATTTATTAAATGAATTTGAATTTTTTACAATGAATTTAAAATAATCTCCGGCTAGCTCTTAACTTAATTTTATTTACAGATTTAGATTCATTTTCGTGGCTACTATTTTCTGAACTAACCTGAACTTATTTACTCTTATTTATTCGTTTTGGTTTACTATTTTTTAGAACATATACATATTGTTATTTTCTGTCGGTTTTTGTGTATATCCAATGGTTAACGTGGAAATAAAGAGAAATAAAAGTATAATAATAATAATAATGTTTCTTTGTTAAGCAAAAATTGGAAATTCTCTTTATTGAGCATTGCACGAATCAACTTTAAATTTAAAAAAAGCTGATTATTGTGTAACACATTCAATTCTAATAGTTTTTTAAATGGTAAAATACATCAATACAAAACAGTCTCAAATGCCACTAGCTTGATTTCTTTAAGAACATACAACTCGGAATTTCTTTACTACAATTTTTTTCACTTTTGTCAAATATAATTTACGATGGTTTGATCTTTAGGTTTACCTAAATGGAATAACAGTATCTACCTCAGATTAACTAACATAAATGTATATTGGGATTGTCCCGTTACAAATGCATAAATTCGCGCAACACAGTGGAATCCCCTTTGCTACGTCAGCGAATACGTAAATCAACAGCGGAACTTAACAGCAGCGTACGGAAAATATACTGGCGCGCTTAATTAGTTTGTCCTTGACCACGTACATCTTCCTCAGGAACGCGTTTTATTCGACGTTAACTGCATATTGTGTCCTCTTAAATTCGCGATCATCCTTATTTTTTCTGCGTGGATAAAACTTTCGCCCATGACAAGCTTTCAAAATTTTTTCTATTAACCCCCTCCAATTAATTACCGCCTCTTTCCACACGACTTACGGTAAAATAGTCAATCATGTTTTTTAAATGCACCAATTGGAATTGCTATCATGACTCTTTCATACTTCCTCAGAATTATCACTTTTATCACACAGATTTCCTTAAAATTTGTTTACTTCGTACTATCCCATATTCGATATCCTTAAATTTGTCTTCCTCATTTTGCTTTCACACCGACCTTTAGCCACGTCCAAATAACGGTCTTTGCGACTCCTTGAGGCTCCTTCTCTTAACCTCATCCTTCTTTCTCTACGCTTCTTTCACAGTCTCTCCACGATACTTACGCATACTTAGAGGCACGTGTTGTTTCTGCTTGTCCTTAGGGCAACCGAATAGGTAGACCCGAATCCGAATTGAATTAAAAAATGAAAGAGATAAGTTTCCTAGCGTAAGGCAAAAAAACTCGTTAATACTGAAATGTATAAAGTCGTTTGTTTAATTAAAATCGATTCTAAGGCTTGAGCTCATTCTTCAAAGGCAACTTCCAGCTTGCACCTTCTCGTTAATTTACATTTTACATTTTATGTAAATTTCAAACCTTTTTTAGTAATCCCAGAAATTGCAGTAAGTTATTTAAATTACAACCACATTAAATATGTGCTTAACAAACTTTTGGTTTTGTTAACATTTCTCTAAAAATTAGAAGACGACGCGAATTTCCCTTCCATGAATAATTCAGGTTTCGCAAAACCCCGGTGACCGCTGCGTAGCAGCTGTAGAATATGAAAGAATGAAAACCGGTTTGCCGGTGAATGAATTACTATTTCATAAAATAGGTAAACATTTAGAAATATTCCCTAGTAGAATAACCGCTAAATGGAGAATTCTAGTTGCTGTGTGACAATTATTATTGTACAAGGGACGGGGGCGAAACGTCGAGAAAATGTGATCGGTGCATAATTGTATTATTACACATGGTCTAAAACAAATTAGAACTACAAACGCAAACGATTAAAACTTAATGGAACGTTTTAAGTTATAATGGACCTAAAATAGATTTAGGTTTTTGTCGCCATGTTCTCATGTGAGACGTTTATTTTTTGTACCTAATGGCAGTTATAAAAACAGCGAGTTTCCATTAATACTTAGTTTAACGATTCTTCCAATTCAATTCCATATCAGTTTTTAAACCCCTGTGTATATTTATAATCAAAGCATCAACTAGTCCTATAAAACGGACCCTCTTATAAAATGAAACCAAGCCAATTAAATAATGGCATGCTCTCTTTCAGAAAAACATTGCCAATTTTGGGGAACTATTGTTCCTGGCTAATTCTGGCAGACAATTCAGCACCGAGATTGTTTAGAACTTGACGTTGCTTCAAAGTTTATCGGAACGTAAATAGTGTTCAGTGGACCACCTGATTGCCGAATATGACCCGCACAAAAGTACAAAACACTAAAATGTCATTCAGAACTTCAGGGCTAACACAAAGCAAACTAATGAGACTGTCAACCCACTATTCCTCACTGAAAATGACTTTCAAAAGCTAGACAAACTAGATTTACAAACATAACATTTTCACACTCTCCGCTTGCCTAAGTTATAACAGACTCTAAATTTACCGGGTTCGTAAACACACGTGATAACATTTAAAAGCAATTACAAACACCTTAAATCTAAAATTAAACTTTTCTCAATACTCCCTAAATTAGCTCTAACCGAAACAATGATCTTCGCTGCACTTAATTCCAAAACAAAACGATGACGGTCGACCTTTAATTTTATAACAATAAATTTGACCGGTACAACACAATCAGTTCTGCGATGTACATTTCAAAAACTCTGCATTTAAACCGGCGATGAACGCTCAACGTTCTCGAGGGAAACACGAAAATGTAACCTAACGAATAGTTTTTAAAAACAAGAAAAATTCTATACAAAAAGAAAAACACCTACACCTTTATCATATTACAATGTTTTACCAGTTTAAATAAAAGCAATAATTTTGCCATATCCAATAAAAGAGCAACCATCCATAGCAGCCACAAGTTATGAAAATTAACATTAGAGTCGGTGTTGCCTTCAGTGGTTCGAAAGATCGTAATTATCTGTTATCTACTTCTTTGCCAAAGCTACTGCTTCGACGGTAAGTTGCTGGACGGATTACACAATGACTTTCATTAGAAAACCATTGATCGGTGATGGATTTGGTACTGCAGGATCAATATTTAATTGCCAATAATCATAGATGGTGGTACCACAATAACACTCTCAAAAGAACTTAGAAAGTACCTAATAAAAAAACTCACTAGACAAACAGCTAAAATACACCT